GGGTTAAATATGTTTTTAGTCCCTAAACTATTGACCGTTTCTGGTTTTCGTCCCTCTTCCAAAGTAAGGTACAATTTAGTCCTCAATCTTTAAAAAACGTTCGTTTTAGTCGAAAAAACGAACGTTTTGAGGACTAAAACGAGGACTAAAAACAAAATTTTGAGGACTAAAACGAACGTTTTTCTAAAGAATGAGGACCAAATTGTACCTTACTTTGGAAGAGGGACGAAAACCAGAAACGGCCAATAATTTAGGGACTAAAAACATATTTAACCCTTTTAAGATTACCATTTTCTGTGACAATGATGAGAGGATTTCCGTATTTCTGTTTTATGTAATTCACTGTACTTCTCATCCCGTGTGGTACTATATACAACCATAAAGAATTCGCCTGCAAGTCATAATTTTGAATATCATTATCATTATTCATAAATATTAAACTTTAGATACTTAAATACTATACCTTTGATTATAAAAAACAATTTATTTAGATCAATTCAAACAAAAGCTTAAGAAGCTTAACTGAATGTGCACAAAATATAATATAATAAAGATTTTTACATAAGTTTATTACCCATAAAAATAATATTTTATTGTGAGTTCTGTAAATACAGATTCCATAAAATTGAATCGAGTTTCTTGTATAAACAATTCTCTTAAAAACTAAATCATGGTAGGATTTATATTAAAATATTTATTTATTTAAAACAAAAATCACATTAGAGATGTAATATAGTTGTATATCTTGTAGACTTGACATTCACCCTTTTAAGATGTTGAATAAATTAACATCAAAGTTTAAAAGGCTAAATTTAGGGTATTTTGTTTTAGACAATAATATCAAGTGGGTGTAAATAATTTTAGAAGTGTGACAAAAGGTAAATTTAAATTTTTCGAACTTAATTAAATTTATATTTTAAATATGCATATGAGATGTGAGTATGTTTGTTCCAACCCAGGGGAACATAGTATATGAGTGGTGTCAATAGTAGGAATGGTATCTAGTAGTACTTTGGACTTGAAAATGAGTTGATATAGATATATGAGTATTTAAAAAAAACAAAATAAAGTGGGTTGTAAGCTTGGCTAAAAAGGGGGTGTAAATATCAACAGATAAGTCTTCTTCGTTTCTAAACTACAAACCAAAACCCTATTCAATAATCTATGGTGATTTTTGAAACTATAATATAGTGGAAAAGAGAAGAGAGTTACTCTCTCTACCATCCCAACTGCTTCCTACACCTCCTCAAATTTTTTTATTCCAAAAATATACTAGGTTAAAATTTTTTAACTTCTACTATTTAATTTTATTTACTTTTTTTAAAACCCTAATTCTGCAGTCCTACCCCCTCACTTTCTCTCTTCCTCTCTTCTTCACACACAGAGCTCTCACCCCCCTCACTTTCTCTTTTCCTCTCTTCTTCGCACACAAAGAGCCCCCACCCCCTTCCACTTTCTCTTCGTTTATTCTTCTCTTGCACATATTTTTGTGGTTAAAGCTTTTTTTTTTGTTCTTTTTATATATGTGCTTATGTATGTGGTGTGTTGTGTAAGAGGAAGAAGAGAAACGTGAAGGCTTGAACGAATGTGGAAAATTTGTTCAGCCTTCAACGGATCTTGAGATCCGTCCACGGATGTCGAGATCCATTGAAGGCTAAACGAATTTCATACATTCGTTCAAGCCTTCACGATCCGTCCAGCCTTCGCGTTTTAACTCTTTTAATTTCTTTTTTGTTTTTAATTTATTAATTTTTTTGTAGATTTTAATTTTTGAACATTGTAAATATTTATTTGTGTAGATTTTACATAATTTAATAATTTTTGTAATATTTTTTATGTATAAAAAATTTGTTAAAAAAAAAAATAAATCGTTAAAAGAGAAAAATGAGGGGATGAAAGTTACAAAATTATGGTTTTAAAAAAGTGAGGGAGTTGAATCTTGATTTACATCAATTCTAAAAAAATTTAACTGCAAGACAAAATAGAAATAAGGAGGTATAAGGAGGAAGTGCGGTTGTGGAGAGAGTAACCTAAAAGATAATGTTATTATTAGTTTTGTCTTTTTTATAATAGTTATCATTTCCTTATACTTTAGATTACCTAATATCTTAAGAGAGGGTTTGCTTTGTATTTTTTTAATATAGGTTTTATTTGGTTCTTACAGTTTTTTTCTTGTTTTGTTAATAACACGTTTTATGTGATGAAAAATAATAAATAAATTTTAGGATGTCAATCTAATTGAAGTTTTATTTGTTTTTTAAGGACGAAAAGAATTAATTACAGAAAAAAATGAAAAGCAAGTTAAAATTTACCAAAATTAGGACAAATTTTTTAAAAAAAATTTCCCTGCATGAGCAAAGAAAACTGAGAATCCAAATTCGTAAAAACAAATATAATCGACTATCGAATGGGGGATAATCAATGTATTAATATTTTATTATATACTTTAAAATTAATATATAATANGGGTTAAATATGTTTTTAGTCCCTAAACTATTGACCGTTTCTGGTTTTCGTCCCTCTTCCAAAGTAAGGTACAATTTAGTCCTCAATCTTTAAAAAACGTTCGTTTTAGTCGAAAAAACGAACGTTTTGAGGACTAAAACGAGGACTAAAAACAAAATTTTGAGGACTAAAACGAACGTTTTTCTAAAGAATGAGGACCAAATTGTACCTTACTTTGGAAGAGGGACGAAAACCAGAAACGGCCAATAATTTAGGGACTAAAAACATATTTAACCCTTTTAAGATTACCATTTTCTGTGACAATGATGAGAGGATTTCCGTATTTCTGTTTTATGTAATTCACTGTACTTCTCATCCCGTGTGGTACTATATACAACCATAAAGAATTCGCCTGCAAGTCATAATTTTGAATATCATTATCATTATTCATAAATATTAAACTTTAGATACTTAAATACTATACCTTTGATTATAAAAAACAATTTATTTAGATCAATTCAAACAAAAGCTTAAGAAGCTTAACTGAATGTGCACAAAATATAATATAATAAAGATTTTTACATAAGTTTATTACCCATAAAAATAATATTTTATTGTGAGTTCTGTAAATACAGATTCCATAAAATTGAATCGAGTTTCTTGTATAAACAATTCTCTTAAAAACTAAATCATGGTAGGATTTATATTAAAATATTTATTTATTTAAAACAAAAATCACATTAGAGATGTAATATAGTTGTATATCTTGTAGACTTGACATTCACCCTTTTAAGATGTTGAATAAATTAACATCAAAGTTTAAAAGGCTAAATTTAGGGTATTTTGTTTTAGACAATAATATCAAGTGGGTGTAAATAATTTTAGAAGTCTGACAAAAGGTAAATTTAAATTTTTCGAACTTAATTAAATTTATATTTTAAATATGCATATGAGATGTGAGTATGTTTGTTCCAACCCAGGGGAACATAGTATATGAGTGGTGTCAATAGTAGGAGTGGTATCTAGTAGTACTTTGGACTTGAAAATGAGTTGATATAGATATATGAGTATTTAAAAAAAACAAAATAAAGTGGGTTGTAAGCTTGGCTAAAAAGGGGGTGTAAATATCAACAGATAAGTCTTCTTCGTTTCTAAACTACAAACCAAAACCCTATTCAATAATCTATGGTGATTTTTGAAACTATAATATAGTGGAAAAGAGAAGAGAGTTACTCCCTCTACCATCCCAACTCCTTCCTACACTTCCTCAAATTTTTTTATTCCAAAAATATCTTAGGTTAAAATTTTTTAACTTCTACTATTTAATTTTATTTATCTTTTTTAAAACCCTAATTCTGCAGTCTTACTCTCTCACTTTCTCTTTTCCTCTCTTCTTCACACATAGAGCTCTCACCCCGCTCACTTTCTCTTTTCCTCTCTTCTTCGCACACAAAGAGCCCCCACCCTTTCCTCTTTCTCTTCGTTTATTCTTCTCTTGCACATTTTTGTGGTTAAAGCTTATTTTTTTTTTGTTTTTATATATGTGCTTATGTATGTGGTGTGTTGTGTAAGAGAAAGAAGAGAAACGTGAAGGCTTGAACGAATGTGGGAAATTTGTTCAGCCTTCAACGGATCTTGAGATCCGTCCACGGATGTCGAGATCCATTGAAGGCTGAACGGATTTCACACATCCGTTCAAGCCTTCACGATTCATACAGCCTTCACGTTTCAACTCTTTTAATTTCTTTTTTGTTTTTAATTTATTAATTTTTTTGTAGATTTTAATTTTTGAACATTGTAAATATTTATTTGTATAGATTTTACATATATAATTTAATAATTTTTGTAATATTTTTTATGTGTAAAAAATTTGTTAAAAAATAAAATAAATCGTTAAAAAAGAAAAGTGAAGAGATGAAAACTACAAAATTAGGGTTTTAAAAAAGTGAGGGAGTTGAATCTTGATTTATATCAACTCTAGAAAACTTTTAAGTGCAAGACAAAATAGAAAGGAGGAGGTATAAGGAGCAAGGTGCGCTTTGAAGGGACTAACCTAAAAGATAATGTTATTATTAGTTTTTTCTTTTTTATAATAGTTATCATTTCCTTATATTTTAGATTACCTAATATCTTAAGAGAGGGTTTGTTTTGTAATTTTTTAATATAGGTTTTATTTGGTTCTTACATTTTTTTCTTGTTTTGTTAATAACACGTTTTATGTGATGAAAAATAATAAATAAATTTTAGGATGTCAATCTAATTGAAGTTTTATTTGTTTTTTAAGGACGAAAAAAATTAATTACAGAAAAAAATGAAAAGCAAGTTAAAATTTACCAAAATTAGGACAAATTTTTTTTAAAAAATTTCCCTGCATGAGCAAAGAAAACTGAGAATCCAAATTCGTAAAAACAAATATAATCGATTATCGAATGGGGGATAATCAATGTACTAATATTTTATTATATACTTTAAAATTAATATATAATATATAATAATTAAATATTTATAAATATATGTTATTATTATAATAAAATAAATATAATATTTCTGTTAATACATATTTTATATTATAGTAATTAATTAAAATTAAAATATGTTTAAAATTAAATTTTCAAATTAAATTTTTAAACATATATCAAAATGTTTTAGAAACTAATTTTACATTTTTTTAAACTTATTTCAAAAAAATTATTTTATCACATCAATTAAATCACTAAAAGACTTTTCTCTTACTCTCTACTCTCTTCTCTTAATTCAAATAACTCTTCTTTCTACTATTTTTATTCCTTTCTTTTCTTTCAAGTCTCTCAAATTCAACCTCTGGTCCATAAGAAAAAATAGATAAATATAATTTATATTATTATTATAAATTTTTATTTTTCCATTCATAGTAATGGATTGTGTGAAGGTTAATGAGAATAATGAAAGAATGAGATAGTAGAAACATTTATTTGTTACTCAAACTATTTACGAAGTGAAAATTCTTAAATATATATCAAAGATTAGAAGTAGCTAAGTATATCAATTTCTTATTCATCTCTCAAAACATTTTTATGCCAAAACTTATCCTTTTAGCAATTAGGATTGAATTGTGATATTTATTATAAATGTTAAGGACTTCAAACAAATAATCATTCAACCAATTTCCTTTTTGTGAAACAAATATGATTAATGAATAATAATTTCTATTTAATCTTTCTTCTTATAATTTTATTTCCATTTTTAATACTAAATTTCACATCAACACCTAAAAGAAACATATTCTCATTTATGGAGCTTACCCTTTCTCCAATGACATTGGTGCCATTAAATGCTGAAATGAATAAAAGAAAAAGCATAGCAAAATTCAATTAGGTCTACATTAATAAAAAAAAATGCATCCAAATAATTAAAAAAAAAATAGAAAAAAAAGATAATGAATTTATATTTAGTTTGAACTTACGAAAAGTAAGGACAGCAGAATCTTCGATGTAATCATGAAGCGGAACGGCGAGGTTGTAGACATAAAGTGTGGTGTAATGATTAATGCCGACAAAATCTAATGATCCTTTAAGAAGAGATGCTTGAGATTTAGAAAATGTTGGTAGCCTATTACCGACTCTACTTCTCATTATGTTTGGATAATCTCCAAAAACTAATGGCTCTAGAAACCTGTCAAAAAAATTCAATCACTATACTTGTTAAATTCAAACATATTTTTTACTCTCAAACCACATTTTTAAATTTATTTTCGAAGATAATGTCATAGTTGAAAAAATAATTTTTTTTAATTATAAAAAAGAAAGCCAAATTAGTGGATGGTATATAAGAGTGTAAATTTGAAATCCTGATCTTCTGATAGTTTTTCTTTTATATTATATATTTTTAAAATATACTAATTTTAATCTATTATAAAATTTAATGTTTTAAAATATTGAAATTAGTTATTTTTTAAGGTTTAATTAAAGTTATCAAAACGGTAATTCGATTCGATTCAGTTTGGTTCACTACGGATTGGTCATTTATTAGTGAGCCGACTCAACCTGACTCATTTATTAACGTGTTGAAAAAATTTGAACTCGGCTCGACCCGTCACTCGGCTCGACCCATCACGGGTTGGTGGGTTAAACGGATCGACTCACTAGCTCATTTAAATATAAGTTTTTTTTTAAAATAAAAAATTATAATTTTTTAATTCAAATATAAATAAATTTGATTCTAAAATGATGTTAAACTTCAAAGACAATTCAAAATAAATAAAAAAATATCATACAATTCAAGCGTAATTCAAAAACAAGCACAAAAACGAACAAATAAGTTTTTAATATTGATAATTTTTATATCATTTGTTCATCTATAATATTAGAGTTTTAATAGATAAATCTATAATATTAAATCTATAATATTTTTCTCTCTTGAAACATCTTTTTTTTATCAAATCTACAATATAATAAAAAAAAATGCTAGCTAATAATATTGAAATACAAAATAATAAATAATTAAATTAAATTAGGTGGATTTGTGAGCTAACCCAGCTTATCACGGATTCAACCGAGTGAACCGAGTTCTAAGTGAGTCGGGTTGAAAACTAACTCGCATAAAAAGAATTACATTTTTCAAACTCAATCCGATTCAAACCCGTGATAAACTCGGTTGGGTAGTAGGTTACAACTTATTTTCACATCACTAGGTTTAATAAGGATCAATACTATATGAAAAAAAAAAATCTTAAATTTGTTAGGTGTCTTCTTAAATTTTGTACAAAATTTTTCATTTATTACTATGTCCTTCACAATATGAATTCGACAAATTTGCTTAGAAATTTTCTTTGGGTGTGAAGATATTTAATTAGGTGGTCTATGTCCTTCACAATATGAAAGTTTTGATTGAAAGATTGTACATAATAATTATTACCAGCCAAGTTGAAAATCTAAGGCTCGTTGAGCTGCTTCAATATCTTCCTTTGAGTTTGTTGCTGGCTCAACCCAAATCACATCCAGAGATATTCCAATAGAGCCCCCTTGTATTTTCTGTACAAGAATAATTTTACTTAGTCAATCAATTATTATGAATATTGTTAAAGATTAAGAAAAAATAAATATAAAAATTATAATCAGATAGATTCAACAACAAATAAAATATAAATTGAATATATAAAAATTAATAATATTTTTAACTAATAACTTCAATATAATAAATTTATAAATTATTTATCATTTTATTTAATACAAAATTTAAATTCATACATTTTATTGGAAGTTTGATTAAAAATAAAATCAATTTAAAGTATATAAATAAATATAAATTTATAAGATTAAATTAGATTTAAAGTTTATCTCTTAATATATTTAATAATTAAAGTATTTATTCATTTTTTTTTTACTTTTTACTTTACCTGGTACTTTTTCCTATAGATGTCCACTACTATTGCATGAGAATTAAGAACATTATGAGCGACAATATAAGGTTCAGTAGAAGAGTTTCCATGTCTGCACAATTGATGAAGAAGAATAGAACATCTTCCAGGAGCTTCAATTCCAAGATCATATCCCATCATTGCAAATGTATGAGGCTCATTGAAAGTGATCCAGTTTTTCACTCTGTCTCCAAATTTTTCAAAGCATAATTCACCATATCTTGCAAAGTCTTTTCTGTTCAATGAATGAAAAACATTCATATAAATTAATTCTATTATCACTATAATAATATTTTCAAGTTATAATTAATATGAATTAAATTTCATATATACATGATGAAAGGGCTAAGCCAACCCCTATACTTGTCTTCCAAGGCTTGGGGTAGGTCCCAATGGTAGAGGGTCACATATGGTTCAATTCCTACAAATATATATATTAGGGTTCATCATAATTAGACTCTTATAATGGTATATGTATACAAATAAATGCATGCTACTTATGTTAATTTTCAAGAGATGTGAGTGTAATTTCTTTTATGAATGGAGATAACTAGATGAAGCCTGTATGTGTAAATAAATTTGTTTAATTTTTTTAAAACATGATTTATTATGGTAATAATAATAATAGTAATATAAATTTTACCTTTGGCTAGTAAGGCATTGATGAGTTTATTGTAGTGATCTATTCCTGCCTGATTAATTTCTCCAGATCCATCTGTCACATTAAGTTTTTACATTTTACACTTAGGTTAAAATTCAATTTCTAGAATAGACATAATTTTCAAGGTGAATACTAAATATTCAAACAACTTTATAATTTATTTAAAGATTTGAAAAAGGATAAGGAATTAAATTTTTTTTTTCATGTTATAGTTCCTCTTTTTGTTTTTTATGTAAAGAATATTTTTTTCTTATAGCTTCTACCTTGGAATATTTAACATTTCAACTAAAAAAAATACCTTTATCGAAATATTTGAATAGTAAAATGCTTACATGGGAAAATTCGAGACCAAGAAATCGAAAACCTGTATGCATCCATTCCCATGTCTTTCATAAGTTGCACATCTTCCTAGTTGAAAAAAAAAATCAAGATGTACTAGTGAAAATGAAACAAATGGTTAAAATACATTAATTAGTTCATACACGTAAAATTTATTTTAAAACTACTAGGAAGGCATGAGACTTTTCATTATAAAATAGAGAAACTAAATTGTAGGATAAGAATAACTCGAAATTAAACCTTAGAATTTCCTTATGAATTTGAATGTTTGAATTCCACTTTATAATTTCTTTCTATATTTGAATGTTTGCAATAACATCACTTTTTTATACATACATGCATGAGAGTGGCAGCACCCACCAAAATTAGCTTGAGTAAAGATTTTTTGACACACCTAAATATTTTACATTCATTTGACACTATCCTTATTTACTTTTTATTCTCTTATGTTTGGAAACAATACAAAAGTTTACACTTTTGTGACCATTTTACCTTTATAGTCTGTGTCAAATGAATATAAAAGTATGTCATGTTACCATTACTCAATTAACTTTTTGCAACTATGAAAAAGACAACAAACATTTTCCAAAGTGGTCAAAGATGACACTTATGAGAAAAGTTTCCTCTGCATAATTGGATTGGACCAAAACAACAAAAACAAGAAGAAAAGTCCTGCTTATTCTTACAAACTGGAAGTAATTGAATCGGTCAAAATCATTCTCTACATCAAAGGAAATAGATTGTTTCATATTCAACTTTCTCATTTGTCATAATACAAGAATACAAACTCGTCATTGTACCTTTCAATCATCAACTAAAGATACACTGTTCTCATATGATATGAAATTGGTAGAACTATTGAAAAAACATTGATGAAGCCTAAAATAATGATAACTTATGAATTGGTCGACCTTATACATAAGGTATGAGAAGAAACTCAAGTGAAAGGGAGTGAAGTACGAGTGATATTCTCAGATAGATTGATAATGTCATGTCTAAGAATGTGAAATCTTTTTGAGAATTTCTGTTGGAAAATTTGTGAAAAGGCTCTGAGGAAAAATCTGGCTAGAAAAGACAAAATTATTAAGTTTATCCTTCTATGACTCACCTCTCTTTCCTAAGAGTCTACTTAGTAAAATTTCAACAATATTTACCTCTAGAAAATTTCTACACACGGCAATTTGGATAGTCTAAGTATCAACTTACACCATCTTTCATTAAAAACCCAAAGCTTTACCAAAATTTTGCTTATAGGAAAAGGGAATTATTCGCTACTAAAGCTTGATAAGACAACACTTTGATAAGGAACACAACAAGGATGATCACCAACTTGATCTAAAATTCATACATGAAATACGATAGAGGTAGCAAAGCAAAAATTTGTATGATGGTACAACATGCGAGTAAAGGAACGAGCTTAATCTTGGAGAAGTGAGAAGATATAAGCTTGAAGATAGCTCCATATTCTATAATACCATTTTATCAGGGGCTTTGCAACTCTTGACATCAATCAAAGACAACGAGTAATACCTTTGAGTAGAGATAGCAACATCATACAAGGAGAACTTAAAAGAGATCAATCCATATAATCAATTAGAAATTAAAATGACGCAACCCGAGTACCAAAAGCTAGTACTCATAGTTTAACTAAGGAAACATGATAATGTTGGACATATAAGCAAATTATTTTCCAAATGAGAGATAAAAAGAATCTTAAAACGTGACAATGATCAGATAAACGATCGAAAATTATAAATTGTAAACCCAAAATTGATGATTCTTACTAATAATTACTTAATGCAAGATGTTTCATCAAAGAATAATGAAAAATGTTTGAGTTTGACACAAGTCAATTATATGTTGGTTTAGCTTTGTGAAAGAAAATACTCAAAAGCAAGATATTCAGTAAAGGTGAACCTTATACGAGAAGTACAAGATGAGACCCGTGGCATAAGAAATACCTTGACAACAAAGGTGAATCTTACACATGAAGTACAAGATGTTGTTAGTGGCATAAGAAATACCTCAAAAGAAAAGATGAATCTTATATGAGAAGTATGAAATGAGGCTCGTGGTATAAGAAATACCTCAAAAGCAAAGACGAATCTTATATGAAAAGTATGGATGCGAAAGAAATACCTTGAAAGTAAAGGTGAATCTTATACAAGAAGTACGGGATGAGGCCTTGACACAATAAATACCTATAAAGCAAGAGTAGTTGGTAGAGCTAAACAACATGAGCATTCGAGTATGAGACTACTCAGTAAACCCAAGCATGAGTGTCCGAATGTGTGACTACTTGGTAAATTTGAACATAAACGTCTAAATATGTGACTACTTGGTAAACCTGAACACTAGCGTTTGAATATGTGACTGCTCAGTAATTTAAGCATGAATGTCCAAATATGTGACTACTTTGTAAATCTGAGCACGAGCGTCTAGATATGTGACTACTCGGTAAATCCGAGCATGAGCATCCAAATTTGTGATTACTCGGTAAATCTAAGCATGAGTGTCAAAAAACGTGACTATCTTGAAAAAATTCGAGAATACTTTTAAGCGTCCAAAAATGTGATCGTCTCAAGAAAATATGAGTATAAATTGAGCTTCCAAAAATGTAAATGTTCAAAAATGTGATTACCTTGATAAGTTCGAGTATAACTTATTTAAAAGCAACGTATAAGCTTGGATGGAAATTCATCTAAGAACTACTTAAAAGTGTTTAACCATATAAGTCCAAATAAAGGACTACTTCAAACGGCCACACATCTAGAATTTATGCATTTGGTAATTAATTATCATAAAGAGATTTGTACTCTTTTTCCTTAGTTCAAGTTTTATTTTTTCTAAATTGTTTTTTTGTCGAACAGTTTTTTAACGAGGCATATTCTTCTAAGCTCGAATGCACCCAACATCTACAAGCTATAATTAATGGAGAATGATAAAACTCGTTAATCCATCTATGGTCCACTTACACCTTATTGTTGACTTCTGAACTAGGGAGAGCTAACCTAATTGTTGATGTGTAATCGATCTTTAAATCACTACGAGAGAAAGATCTATTTATAAATAATCTTCAACCCTCCAATTAATAATAGATGATAATTGAATATATGAGAGTAAAATAATTATATTACGTTTCGTGTGACAAAATTATTTATAAACTTTCAATAACATAAATAAACAAATATAATAGTTGAAGATAATCAAATATAAATTTATACTAAAATATGATAAATTATTATATCATAAAATATTAACTATAAATTTATTGGAAATATTTCATGAACATAATTTAATTATAAATTATTATATTATAAGATATTATTGAATATATTTCCTAATATATTGGCGTATGTACATTATATAACCCTATTTTCTTAAACTTGAGTCTAATTATAATAAAACTAAAACTATAAATTTTAAAAAATGTGATAAAATTGCATGGTGCCACCAAGTAAACTCATCTTACTTCGTAACGATGGTATTGATCCACTGCAACATCAGCATTGGTATTATCCAGTATTTTTCCTGTTACAAATGCAAGAGAAATCGCAGTAACAACATAATCATAATAAGTTTAATTTACAATATTGTTATATTCTTCAATAAAATAAATAATGATATTATTCAAAAGGTAAAAAAATTGCTTTCTTGACAAATTTGTATTCAAATGATTAATTTAAGCACACATAAGAAAAATTTTCATTTTTTTAAATATTTATAGTAATTTTAATAACTTACCAGGTGAATGAGAAAAAGTATCCCACACAGATGGCCCTCTTCCATCTTCTTTTACTGCCCCTTCGTACTATAAAAATATCAACATTAATTCAACATATATGTAAATATGTAAAAATAAAAACTATATTAAAGTAATTATAGAATTTTGCATTTTTTTTAATTGTAAAACAAGAAACTCATAATGATAAGTGTTGATGAAGAGTGGAAAGAAAACCTGAAAAGCTGAAGCAGCAGTGCCAAAAACAAAACCTTGTGGAAAGCTTTGCCTATTGATCTCTGAGATGCATTTTTGAATCTGAAAAATTACACTGACAATCACTGCCATTGCAACCACATTGCTTCTTCTGAACGCCATGGATTTTGCTCAATGGAACAATTAAGAAAAGTAAGTGAATTTAATAGGCAGTAGGAAGACATTTTTCACATATAAACCTACGCATCAATCGGTGGTTTCTACGAAGGGTTGTTGGCGGAGATGAATATGAAACACTAATAATAAATAAATCATATTGCTTAAAGAATAAATGAACATCTTGGTACTAAAATATTTTATTAGTTTATAACTACAATGTGAATGTGGCTTAGAGATTATCAGCTCTAATTTGATCATTCCATTCTGTTGTTACTTTCACTTTAGCTTGTTATTTGTATCGAAACAGTGAATAAGAAAAGAAGCATAATTGTTTCAGATGCGAGGTGCAGTTACTAACACCTACACAATTTTTTTCTCAAATATTATCCGGTAATTATCCTTCTAGTATCTTTCTTTGCTCCACCATTACCCGAATATACCTGTCAAAGATTTTATGATGTTGTTGATTGTACGTACCGTATTTCAACGTAACACTAAGGCTGTGTTCGCATGAACCGAATTTACTGTTCATGCGAATTTGCGAGCGAAGAATTCAGCTTGTTATGCGTTTGTTTGGAGTGAAATGCGCGTACGGATTTGCGATGAAATGCGGGATGGTTGCACTGTTCAGTCACCCGCGGTTGTGAAGAGATTTGCGCGGATTGTGAGCGAAATGTCGCGTGTGCCCTCGGTTAAGAAACGCTGGAAACGCGTAACCGGTTACATGTTCGCGTAACCGGTTACGCGTTCGCGTAACTGGTTACACGTTCGCGTAACCGGTTACGAGTTCACGTAACAGGTTACGCGTTCGTGTAACCGGTTACGCGTTCGCGTAACCGGTTATGCGATTTCCTTTTTTTTTTTCAAGTTTTTTTTATAATTATTTTAATATTAATGAAATTAGATATATTATATTTTTTAATTTATTTTTAATAAATTGATTATTATATTTTCTAATTTATTAAAAAAAATTGATTATTTAGTTTTTTTAATTTTTAAACATTAATTATAAATTATTCATAATTTTTTTTTATAAACATTTTTACAATTAAATATAACATTTATAAATAACATTTTATAACTAGGAACATTTTGGTAATCTTTAATTTATATCAATTAAACTAATTTTTAAAATCTATCACATCAATCAAATCCTACACTAATTCTCACAAACTTTACTTCCAAATCCACTCTCAATTATCCACAAATCCACTCAAAAAAACAACAAAAAAATTACCCTCAAATCCACTCAAATCCATTCAAATCATCTCCCCCAAATCATCTCCCCCAAATCACTCCAAACGAACACAGCCTAATAAATATGTAATAAATGCGAACGTTTATTTTTGACGTGTATTTATAGTTTTCGACATAGGTTTGAGATTAGTGAAATCTTAATTAAGGCCCAATCTTAGTCTAATACCTTTAATCATTGATTACCTTAATCTTGTTGGGAATCCAAGTCTGAGTCAAAGTCTCACATTGGATAGAAACGAGGAAGTATAGCAGTATATAAAGGTGAAAAACCCATTAACCCATTATTTTAAGGTTTTGGGTAAAGAGAGATGTCGATCTTTTGTATAGTTGACTCAAATGTTATTGGTATTTGTGTAACCCACATATGGAACCTCCTTCTCAATAGACTCAACAGTGATATTAAAGTCGATGGTTTGTTATCTCTATTTTAGAGAGTTTTCAATGTTATATAATCAATTATATTTAAATATAATCAATTAATATATTTTCGTTTAACCCATAAATTATTTTGAATCAACATAATCAAATATAAGAATAATAGATTATTAGAGAAAGTGAGTTTTTTTTTTAAATCTTAACATAATCCATTATTTGAAATAATCGATTGTTTTAAAAAAATTAAGTATTTCCAAAACAGTTTGAAATAATAAATTATCTATGATTCATGATCAATTATATGCAAAACTAATTAAAATTTAAGTATGGTCTAATTTGAGATAATAATTATAAACTCAACATAATTTATTATGTTATGGTTTTAATTAATTTTTGTATTTCCTGATTATTAATTGACATGCAATAAAAAAATTTAACTGATATTTTAAGATATAATAAGTTTTTTATTCGGTAAGAGTTTATTAATTACATAAAATATAAACTATTGTACACCCAAAAATATAATATATTGGACAACAAAAATATATATTATTGCAAAGATTAAAATTTAGAAGAATTTAAGATAAATTTAAAAATATAAAATACTGCAAAGTTTAGAAGGAGAATTTAAGATAAATTTAAAAAATTTTAAACATTACCAAAGAAGAATAATTAATTGACTTGCCACCTTAAATAGACATGAGAGGCAACTCTGATATTTCATATAATATCACAGATTCCCATTGCATTTTATTTAAGCCATTTGAACAGTTCCGAATGTTTATAAGAAATTATTATTTTTAATTTTAATAACACAATTTAATTTTTTTAACTAAATATAAATACACCTAAAATGAATAACTAAATTCACTTATTTCCATATAAATATCAAATATTAGTATTGCGTTATTCCAAGATATAATTTCACTAAAAATTAACTAACTAAATATAAAATGATTTATTTATTTATTATTCTCAATATTACACATAAGTTCTTAATGAATAATTAAAATTAGATCATTTTTAATAAATTAAAATTAAAATCAATGAAGACGCTATTTTTTTAGGATAAGAAATATATTAAACCAATTCAATTAATTGTTATTTTTTATTTGATTTGAATGATTTGTTTTCAATTATATGATTGTTGAAGAGGAATATAAATTCGGAATTTCGTTTATAAACGCTGTGTATAACACGAAGAATTAGAACAAAGAGAAAAGAGAAGAAAAGCCTTTAACGGAACGTAGAATAAACCAGTTGAAGAAAATGGAGCACGAGGAAGACGAAGAGCCACCTCTTGCTGTTCAGATTCAAGGAAATGATGAATTCGATTCTCAGAAATCTTCTGTTGGGGTTACTCTCATCACGGGCTATCTTGGTGCAGGCAAGTCTACTGTAAGTTTTTTAAACCCTTTCATTTCTTCTATCATCGTTCCAAACACCCCATCATTTTCTCTGCTCATGATTCACTATAAATCCTCCATTTTTCAATTTTCGGGCAATAGGGCAGTTTAAAGTTATGTGCTTTTTCAGTTTGGTTGCGTTGCTCTTGTTGCTTTTTGGCACTAGTTCTTTTGGAATGGTGACGATGTTTTTCGTGTTTTGTGGTGTGGAATTGTGATGTTGTGACTGAATCATTGGGTTTCAGCTAGTGAATCATATTTTGAATTCGCAACATGGGAAGAGGATTGCTGTCATTTTGAATGAGTTCGGTGAGGAAATTGGCGTGGAAAGAGCCATGATCAATGAAGGGGATAAGGGTGCACTTGTTGAAGAATGGGTTGAGCTTGCCAATGGGTGTATATGTTGCACAGTCAAGCATAGTTTGGTTCAAGCACTTGAGCAGCTTGTTCAGAGAAAGGAAAGGTAAAGCGAGGAAATAATTGTATATTTGTGGTCCATTTGAGGCATGGAAAATTGAAGCAGCAGTTGAATCACTTAGGCTCTGTTTTGGAGAAACTTTTCCTTGAACACTTTTAAAAGAGAAAAGGAAGAAAGCAAAATGAAATCACCTCCTCCATAAGTTAAAACTAGTTTATGTTTGAATTAATTTGTTGAAGATATTTCTTATTAGCTTCTCCAAATTAACTTTTGCATTAGTTAATTTGAGCTTATAAATAAGTTTGTTTCATTTTCTTGCTTATTTTTCTCTTCTAGAGTGCTTATGGAAAAATTTACTTCAAACAAGCCCCTAATGTTGCCATTCACTTTACCTTATTTTCATTTTATCATGATTTGATCTGGTGTTCGGTAAAGTGGGTCAACTCTGCTGCATATTTTCTCTCGATTAAGTAGTTTTCTGTATTGTGTCTTTAGGCTTGACCATATATTGCTGGAGACCACCGGATTGGCAAATCCAGCACCTTTGGCATCTGTTCTATGGTTGGATGAACAGTTGGAATCAGAAGTGAAGCTTGATTCTATAGTCACCGTAAGTTTCTTTTTTGGATGTATTTTATTATAATTTGTCTCCCTTCTTTGGAATGAATATGCTCTAATTTCCTCTATAATAAGACATGCTTATAGCTGTTTCATTCCAATGCAAATGAACTAAATTCTTTTAATTATTGTCGCCTCCAGGAAAATTGTCATTCTTTTGTGTTTGTGGCTCTTCCACTTTTATAATGATAGATGTTATTATTTCCTTGGTATATAAAATCATGGCTTGTGAAGCATGGCCTCTTTTTGATCGAGTTTCTTCTCAACTAGGTGGTGGATGCTAAAAATTTGCGCTTCCAGCTTGATGAGCACCGTGGCTCATCTTCATTTCCTGAAGCATATTTTCAGATAGCATTTGCGGTAATTGTTGATTATATTGACTGGATATTGGATTATTAGTGCTTATTGATAACATATTTTTCATTTTCCCATAGTACCTTCCAGAATTTCAAAGATTGATGAAATGGAAAAAATATCGCGGAAACACTAAAATATATATTTCATTCGAGACTCTTGAGTAGTTGTTATGTATAATACTGATCTTGTACCGCTATTTATATTAATGATTTAGGTCTGGTATTGGTGTAGTATATCTAGCTCAAGTATTTAGTGGAATCGGGGATTGAAGAGCTAATCACTTTTGCTACTTGTTTCAGGACATTATAATTCTTAACAAGGTTGATTTGGTATCTGCAGAGAGCTCTGGAGCTCTGGAGAAACTTGAGGAGGAAATACATAACATTAACTCCCTTGCAGAGATAATACATTCGGTTAGGTGTCAAGTTGATTTGTCTAGGATATTGAACCGCCAAGCTTATGATGCTGCAGTTAATATAATGCATACTTTTTCGCTCTTCATGCTTAGTTTTTCTTCCTACTCCATGTGACTACACTTACTTTTGCTTCTTTTTTTTCTTTTTAGCGTGCTACACATTTAGAGACTTTGTTAGAAGAAAGTCGTTCTTTGTCTACAAAAAAACTTCATGATAGTGGCGTGAGAACCATATGTATTTCTGGGACACAGATGATTGATCTTGATAAGGTATATATCCAATAAGACCCATCAAATGAGAAAGTTGTTTCTGTAAGAGGCACAAATATTGACCATGAGATCTTATCATGAATGATCTAATTTAAAATATAAGGAAGATTTAGGATGCTCACGTGATTTAGCTATTAATCTCAATCATTCATGTATAGTTTGTATGACAAACATTTGCTCCTCCTTTGTAAAAATAGTTTTTTGGTTTTCACTAAATGCAGCCACAAACACACATGTATATAGTTTTCCCTTTTCCCACAGCTTCTAGTCTATTATCATTGTAGATTATTCAAGAATTAGTGGTTGCTCTGTGCATGTTTGTGATAGGCTTGAATTTAGGAAATAATTGTTTGGTTTCAAAGTTCACTCAGAAAGCTAGCAAGGTTAAGTGATTATTTCTTCAGAATAAGCTGTATGGGGAAAAAGTTGATAACTGATTATAACAATCTTTCCTTCTTTATTGACCATTAAATCTTAACAGGAATAATTAAGTTTAAAATATGATCTTTTGGGATGATCATGTGACTTTAACCATTAATCTCAAACATCCATGTGTAGTTGTGTATGGCTAAGATTTGCTCCTCTCATTTTCATTAAGTTATCTTTTGAACTAGATGCTTCCACTCACACATATACAGTTTTCCCTTTTTCTGTAGCTTATAGTTTAGTATTATCATAGGTTGCTCCTCTGTCTGTCTTGTGTTCTATTTATATATTGTTTACAACCATGATAGACTCGAATATGGCTTGAGGAGATTCTCTGGGAGAAGAAATACGATATGGATGTATACCGTTGCAAAGGAGTGTTAAGTGTTCAAAATTCTGATCAACTGCATATTTTGCAGGTAAATTACACTTAACACAATTTAGATTCTCCACATGTTTTCTTGTGCTAATACAATGTGTTAGACTTTGGTCTCTTTATTCATGTTCTTCAGATTGATATTTGTTCCTTATTATTTATTGTCTATATACCTCTTGCAAGCATGAGGATTTGAAACACCAGATCCTAACCTGATTAATGGGTTTATATCATTCATAAATGCTTCTAAAGATTTGATAAGTTAATCTATTTAATATCCTATATGCTATTTGATTGAGATGAATGCAGAGGATACATTGTCCGATTGATAGGTTCTTCTATTTATTTATTCTGTATTATTTTAAAACTATATTTTCGTGAAAATCTTGCAGGCAGTGAGGGAACTATATGAGATTGTTCCATCTCGCAAGTGGGAAAAGGAAGAGAAACGCATAAATAAGATAGTCTTTATAGGTAACTTGATGAACTTTTCTTGTTTTAGCACAAATTTGGGGTTGTTAACATACTCATTTTTCTTTTTTCTGAATGACAGGCCATAATCTGAAAGAAGATATTCTTATTAACTCTTTTAGAGATTGTGCTGCCGTGTAAACCTATATTCAATAATCAATGAATTGGTGAATGATTTTGAGTTTCAACCAAATCACAATTTGTTTGACATCGCCAATTTGACAAAGAAATGATGAGTAATACTCCTTCTCTCCTTGATTATAAGATATTGTTTGTGATGTTTTTTTATTTATTCTTTAATAAAACTGTCTTAAATGAATTGTCTTTTTTTTTCCAAAGATTGGGAAATTAAGGAATTTAGTTTTACAAATTAAAATTTTACTACAATTGTTTTCTCTCTATACATTATTTATTTGAGAAATTAAAAAAAAAACATTACAATTATATACAGATTTAGTATTATTGATTAATTTTTAATTAGTGTGAATTAATTATCAATATCATAATTAGTCCTTAAGCTTGTGTGGAGAGAGAAATCGTGTTAAAGAAACAAGCGATAACAATAATGTCACCTTAGAGAAGAACTACTATATAAAGTAAATGCAATTTTAAATAAATGTATTTTTCCTTTTACTATAAATTTTAAGCAGGGGTGGGTCACGCGAGTTGGGCCGCAAGCCCGCACAAAAAACCTGGATGGACTAAGATTTCAGGCTCGTTAGTCTGCATAGGCTTGCAATAAACTACCTGTATAAAAAAAATCTTGTATTTGTTAATGTTATGTATTAATGTGCGAAAATCTCTAGAATTCATCATGCATGTTAAATTATATATATAAATCATGCATGTTTAATTGTAAATTTATCCTTAAACTTTTCAAGATACTTGCTTAATTTTGTAAATGTGTTAAAGTTTTCTAACTTATAAGAATAAATTAGTGAGTATTGATTAATGTGTCGAATTGAAATATTGAATTAATGTTTAAGGAAAAAAAAAGTAAGGAGTATAATCATGAGAAGTCATGGAAAATGATAAAAAATAATATGATTTAGTGAAAAAAAGTTGTTAACTCATTAAATATTATTTTTAATACTATGTCACTCATAATAATTTAGTTAAACTGTATTCTCAAACATAATTTTATAATTAATTTAATAGAAATATATTTGTACTAAAAGATAATTTTGGAGGTTTTTTTACTAAGAGGTCTAAAATTAGAGTTTTACTTGCTTGGGCTTTAAGCTTTCCTAATCAATCAATGTTGTAGGCATGTAGGACGGAGAGATAGACGGCTATATAAGAATCATAATCTATACTATTATTAAACATTCATTACCTCATTTCCTTTGCAGCTTTAACGTGCAAAATTCAAACCAAAAGTAGCATCAATTTTCAATGGGTGCTTTTCCTAATCGATATATTCCGCCTTTCAAGATGCATTTATTACCCTTTAAATATTATTTGAAGATGCATTTCTCAGATTGTTTAGGTTATTTGACGTTATGCACATAATTACAGACGTTAATGCTTATAATAAATATTTTTTGTTCATAATAAATATTATACAATTATTTAATATTTATTATGCATATTTTATCTACATGTGTATTCTAATAATATACTAATACTTAATATTGAATATACTTACAATATATAGTTTATATTTTTTAATTTATTCATATGTCTTATTGAATATGTCTGAATAATTTACATGTGTAATACAACTTCGTTCCACCGTGAATATTTATATATTTATTATAACATATATTGATTATATTTGGTAATTATAATAGATATATCGGCATAGAAATTCATGACCAAAATCTGGTCATACCATTTTTACTTAACATAATATTGCATGGTAAGTCTAATTCTAATATATTTGTTTATCACACCACATACTCCATACTCCAGAGGAATCTAAGTTAAAAATACACAGAATTCATGTTAGAGTTGCACAACTTCATTACAAATTTAACAATGAAGTCGTACAAGTTCTCCATGATTTTCACTATCCTCCAATTAATTCATTACATTATTGATATTAAATGAAGTTGTGTCTAACTTACATTATTTCATCACTTACATTTTCTATGGTAAAACATCTGTGTCATTACACCACAATTTCTTCATAATAAAAGTGTACTAGCTTGACACATCACAGTCAACTTTTTTTCTAATTTCCACTTACGTAATTTTCATAACAAATTGCACCATTTTAAAAAAAAAAAAGTCATGAACCATGAACAATTATTTCATGTCTAACTAATTTATTTTTCTTAACCTTTCTTAGTAAATCTTTTTCTTCAAAAAAAAAATTTCACATAAAAAAAAGTATATATATATATATATATCTCGAGAAGGTGAGTTTCACAGATTTTTTGAACTCTCCATGGTACCAAACATTCTTCCTTCAATCTTACTCCTGATATTTGCATTTCATGAATGGATGATGGTGTATTTGCAAAAAATACTTTGACGCCCAAATTAGTATGGTGCGTCAACTAATAATTAATGTTGTAAAATGTAAATGTAAATTATGTATCTCCATAACAGTACTATTTATAAGGTAATTAAGGATTTGTGGGCTCTCACCTTAATAGGTCAGGATGGACTCACTGGTCCACTTACCTTTGATGCAAATGATGTCAAGATAAACAATAGCATGATAGTAAAATACAATAGACCGACTTATGGCCGGGTAGGTAGAGGTTGGGGTAGTTGTTAGATCATTTGTGACTTACTTGTATCCTTAGGATGATAATATATGAATGAGAAAAGGTATAGAGTGAATTTAAGTCAGTTTGAAGTGGGCAAGTTAGTATAGGGTATCCATTTTAAGTTAAAAATTGTTTCTAGAGTATCCTTAATGTATAGTGTATCATGTTGACCAATTGGATAGGTATAGAGAGCAACCAAAACTAGAAAATAAGGGTTAGTGGTGTTTTGGTGTGGCGCTCAGTGGCAGTCAATGAGGCTTGAGCGCCAAATTTGCGAGAGGTTTAGTGCTCAGCTGCATGCAGGTGGTGCTCAAGCATCAAAATTGCGAGACGAATAACGCTTAGCGTTAGGGATGTGTCGCTCAATGTCATGTTCTTTGGTTGGTTCTTTTCTTTTCGACATCTCACTTACTCTTAGGGGTCTTTAAGTTCCATGTTTGGTATATAAGTTCCATGTAAATGAGTTTGAAGACATTTTTTAAAAGTGTTGGATGAGATATGATGTGTGTATGTTCATGTTGTCATGTTTGTATGATATAAGGGATAATAAGGGATAATTACGTATGAGTTATGTTTCAATCTGTAATGTAATGAATTAAAGGTGTAAATTATGTGAATAATGGTTATAGGGATTTTAATGAGAAGTCCTTAAGATGATTATTAGGGGTTATTCTGACATTCTCAATAACTTCTAGTCTCAAGAGAAGGATAATTATGTGGTGAAGAGTAGCAGAAGAACCTTAGTCTTATGGTTAATTGTTTTGGCCACAGATGCTTGAAATGATTAACCTTGGAGTGTGGTAATTGTTGAGGAAGAAGTTGTTGTTGCATTACCTCTGGAGCCTCGATATCAATACATGTATCTAGATGGTCAATATAGAGTTAGATGAGTAAATGTATATGAATGGTGTTAGTGGTTGATATAATTGAATTATAAATTGATGTTTGTAATTGATTTTAAGTGCATTATTTAATAACAATAACTTATTATTTTCTTTGTATTTGTTTATTTTTTGGATTTGTTATGATCATTTTTATGATACCAGGAGGAGCCTTTGTTGGACCAGTTGTTAAGCAAGGAAAATTGAGTAGAAGAATAGATTTAGTTTCTTTATCTGGCTGATTTTGTAAATATATATATAGTTAAAATAATAATAAATAAATTAAATATTAACAACTTTTATTATTAATAATAAACGTATGATTTAATAATTAAATAAAACAATTTATAATAATAAGATTAATTTTGTGATTTTATAATTTCTTTATTTTTTTTACATTTTTTTCCTTAATCAAATAATTTCACCTTCTACTCTTAATTTTCTTTTCAATTTTGTCTAACCTCTCAAATCTAAATCTCAAAATAACATCATTTAATACTTTTTAGTTCATGAAAACGAAAGAGATGAAAAGTAGTGTGATTGGTTGGCATAAAAGAGTGAACTGTCCCCAAATAGGCCAACAGGAACACGTAGTCACTCATTCATTGGCCGTCCGTTCCGCTGACAATAAGATCACCATCTGCACTCAAATCAACAACCCAAAGTGCCAACATGCTTTCTCTATAATACCCCTAATTACTCTCTTAGGTTCTTTTTTAATTCTCCATTTCTTTAATAATGTTTTTATTTGTTATTTCTTATATTCCAAAATAACTATTTTAATATTATTTCCTTAATTTAATTACTATAAAGACGAAAAATTATGTATAATAAGAAAGAAGGCGCAATGATGTATAAATGTGCATTGAAATAATAAAATGGAAAATATTTTGGTTACGGGGATGAGTCATTAAATACTTTCACAATTTGTTCTTCCTCGTCGTATGGTCTTGCTCCTTGGGTCCTTGGTTCGTTAGTCCGGTTGGTGTGTACCTATTAAAGATACTTCAGTGTCAAAGTCAGTAGTTGAATCGTCCGGTTATCTAATATGACAATGACAGTAATAAATGCAAAGTAAATGCCTCTACCTACCCTACCTGTTACCTTTCATTTACATTTATAGTTGTCTGACGTGGGCCTAGGATTAGCAATGTTTTAATCATACCTTAATATTCATTAAGGGCTTTAATGAGTCATTAGTGTTTAACCATGACCTAGTGAGGGTCGGTCGGGACGGCCGGTCAGAAGGGTGGTCGGCCAGGGATGTCAACCTGGATGGACGACCACTCGGTTCTACTGATCGGTCACATTAACGCTCGGTCTTAATGGCCAACCTGGGTGGACGTTCGGTCCATGTGTGGTCGGACGTTACTTGGACGCTCTGTCTGGATGGCCGACCTGGGTGGACGCTCGGTCTTGATGGCCAACCTGGGTGGACGTTCGGTCCATGTGTGGTCGGACAGCGTTACTTGGACGCTCGGTCTGGATGGCCGACCTGGGTGGACGCTCGGTCTTGATGGCCGACCTGGGTGGACGCCCAATTTATGGTTTCGGGAGGACCGGGCGGTACAAACCCTATAGGCAAACCTCCAACCTTTTGATAATAAGATATTTAACTCTTTTAGGATTCAAATCTCATTA